GTGTTAAATTTTTAGATTTCCATTTTTCACTTATTTAAAAAAAATCCTAAATCATGATTATTCAAAGATGGTTTTTTGTATTATTTATTTGGGGGTCAAAATTATCACAAATAAATCGCTCTATCACCTCTAGCGGGAACGCGTTGAATTACCTATAACCCTGTATAGAAATGTCTATATATCTGTTTGTCCATACATAAAAGACATTCTATGTCATAGACAATATACACAAATGTAGAGAAGGAAAAGTGGATTTAATGGTATAGAAGTTGTGTTGATTTCACATTATTTATGTTTTTCCGAAGTTATAGGTAGATTTAATCGCTTTTTAACTTTTGATAACTGAGAACCAATGAAATACTTTATTATTTCCATCAACATCTGAGCGGAATGTGACTACTGACGTCACAAGTACCGTCAAAGGCCAACTACGGCCGTGTTTTAGTCGCACGAAAATGATCACAGCTTTATTTAATTTTTAAGCTTACTGGTTGATTTTTTTTTTCTTGTTAGTTTTTTCTGGTTATCTTGTAAAAAGTAGAAACATTACAACAAAGAAGATGCATATTTCCAAATGCGATTAAATAGACAGTCGCTTCGCTGTTTTGGCGAATCTCAATTGTAAACTGCCAGTAATAACGTACAGACAGACAGCAGTATACTGTGGGGTCGCTGTCGCAGTACATTGGCAGTGCAGCTGCTGGCTACCGGCCGCTGCCCGCCGCGCCCCGCGCGCCCCTCGCCGCCGAGCTGCGCGAGCCCGCGCCCGCGCCTGCTGTCGACGACACGCATGTGAGACTTATTACATAGAGATAAGGTTCATTTTACACTAACACGGAGTCACTTGAAGGAAATACTACTCTATTGGTATAGGAATAGAGTTGCTTTTACAATGTTAGATGTATATAGCTCGTATGGGATTTGCATTTAAATTGCTTTTGGAATACTTGAATTGAATGGTATTCTATGTATATAGTAATAAGGTTCATTTTACAGTACAGATCGGAATGAATTAGAACTAAAACAGTAGAACCTCGATAACAAAAACCTCTATAAAATCAAAAAATAATATGTTCCCTTTCCATCCGAGCCCAAAACCTCTATAACATAGACCCTTGATAACTTAAAACCTCTATAACTTAAAATATTTTGTGTTTCCCTTGCACTTTAACTAATCGAGGTTCTACTGTACTCTATTTGTTATAGGAATAGAGTTGCTTTCACATTGTAGATGTAATGAATATGACTCGTGTAATATTAAGATTGCTTTAGTGAGAACTGAATGCTATTCTATGTGTTTCGCAATAAGGTTCATTTTACGCTGCAGATTGCAATCACCTAGCACTGCTCTATTGTTATGGGAATAGAGTTGCTTTTACAATGCACTCTAATTGTAAGATATATGTGGCTCGTATGGGATTTTTTTTAATTTTTAGAGGGAGTTTTAAAGAGAAGCAAAAGGTTAATGGTATGGACATGTTGTGCGACGAGACGATGAGGACATAAACCTGAAAGTGTTAAGAATGTGGGCTACAAAAGAAGAGGAAGACCGAAGAAAGTATGGATGGATTGTGTGAAAGAGGATATGCTTAAGAAACGAGTGGATTCAGATATGACGGCTGAGAGAGATGGAAGAGCAGCACATACCTCCATATGGGATAAGGGCAAGTTGATGATGATGGAATTTTTATTGAGTTTGCTTTTGTAAAACGCAAACTGAATGTTTATGACTATAGCAATAAGGTTGATTTTATTATGTATAGGTAGATTGGAATGAAGTAGATATAAATTTGTATTGAGGTTGCTTTTTTAAGATTTGAACTAAATACTACTCTAAAAATACACAAATAAAGTTGATTTTACAGTAACACAGGTAGATTGAAAATTTATTTAAATACACGTGAGCTAAAAACGACTTTATTGCTATATTGATAAGGTTCCTTTTTCATACTATAAAATAGAAATTTTACAATATGACAGCAGACTACAATGAATATGGCTCGTATTTCATTACCAATAAGGTTCTTATTCGTCATTTCAGCAGAAAAATAAAACCTTCTACTCCGAGCCGGAGAGCGACGGCTCAGGGTCATCTTCTTCAGCATCTTCTAGCAGTTCGGAAGATTCTTCTAATGAGTTAGTATATTCATAACAAAAGGTATTATATTTAAACCCCTTTGATTCGTATTTATGTGATTTTTTTTTGCAGCGAAGAAAGCAATCAAGAAGAGAAGAAACAAGAAAAACCAACTGAAACCAACAATTACAAGTAATTATAATCGCAGTATATTTTGAAATAATTCTTTGTTTAATAAAAAAAACTACACTTAGACACGCTTTAGGCTATTTTCACGCTATTAATATTAGTGAGTTAAATATATGAAAAAAACCCAATGTGAGAAAGGGACACAAACTACAAGCTGCCAACATCAAGGAAGCAAAGTTGCTATGGTAATGGTAATTGTTGTCCAATGTCAAAGGCCTTTGTTGTCAGTGCATTTGAATTTTGACATTTGAAAACTACACAGTAGAAAATAAAATATAGTTATTACAATTTCATGCGGATGAAGCCGCACGGGAACAATTCGTTATTTTATACACAGAATTGTCACAATTTTCATATAACATTAAAAAAACTTGACTAGTTTAGATGGATGGATGTTTGTTAGAGTTTGTAGCCTAAACGACTGAAGAGATCTCGATGAAATTTAGCATAGACGTAGAGGATAGTCTGGAAGAACACATACTTTTGTATTTTTGAATTTCACGCGGACGGAGTCGCGGGCGAAAGCTAATCTATATATTTTTCAGGTCGTCAAACTCAGGCACGTCAGACAGTGAGTCTGACAGCGAGTCTGACAGCTCCAGCGACAGGCAGTCTGACAGCGACACTGAGTCTGACGAGCAAGGGAACTCCAAGTCTACTGCGAAGGTGGAGTTTCAGCACCATACTAAAGATTTTAATGATTTTTTTATATAGCGACTTATAATATTCCCTCTACTTCCCCTTTCTCAGAACGGGGTTGCGGTCGCCCCTTCCCCTCTTAGGGTGAAAATATTTAAATCTATACTAATATAATAAACAGGAAAGATTTTTATTTTTGTATGTATTGGAATAACTCAAAAACTACTGGGCCGATTTCAAAAATTCTTTCATCATTAGAAAGGTAATTTTTCTGTGAGTAATGTTTTTTTATTATTGTTTTAAATTCACGGCGGGCGAAGTCTTGAATATATAAATTAATTAAAACCCCCTAAGATTTCTACAATTCCTGCATCACTGTTAATTTTTATTAACACCAACACTGTACTGCCCCCTACGTAAGTTTTTTTTTATAATACAAGGTGGCAAACGAGCAAGCGGCCACTTGAATCCACCGAAATGGAAAGCGGCCGCTGCACATAGACATCCGCAATTGCAGATGCGCTGCCTACCCTTCATTGACGGAGGAAGAGACGCACATAATGAGGACATTTCCCCTTCCTATGCGTCTCCTCCATCGTCAAATCCACTTTTCCTACTCATTCCTTCCTCTTAAGACAATGGTGGAAAGGAAAAGGGACTAAAATTGGGCCTCCGGCACCACACTCATCAGACGAAACACGGAATTGCTCCCACTTCACGCCTGTTTTCTGTGTGGTCGTAGTATTACTGGGGGCGAGCCGGCCATACAGTGCGAAGATGTTAAAGCGGGCTCTACCACTGTTAAAACTTATCTTGTTTTAAATCTAAACTGTATTTTTTTCGTTTTATAGGAATCGAAGGTGGAACCTCCACAGAAACCAAATGAGAAATCAAACTTGGAGCTACTACTGGAGCTGGACGAGGTCGCCAGCTCCTTACCAACTATGACCCCCACTTGTGGGGGCTTTCTCTCCCCCCCTACCGCCGCACAGGCCTTCGGAGATGGTGAGCATACTGGCTCTTAAGTTAAGCATCTTCTAGAAATGGTGCCCTCAAGTGAGAATGGAACTAGTAGAAATTACTTTATTGAAAAAAATATTGAAATACAATTATTATATTAACTTAAAGGTAGTTAAAATTGTTGTGAATTGAAAAGATTTCATAACTTCTTAACTATATTTATTAATAAAGTTCTGACTTCACAAACCAACATAACCATAAATGCGAAAGTTTAGATGGATGTTTTTTAGAGTTTGTAGCATAAACTGCTGAACGGATTTCGATGAAATTTGGCATAAATGCAGAGGGTAGTCTGGAAGAACACATAGGCTACTCACTTTTGTTTTTTTTTAATCCATTCGGACGGAATCGCGAGCGAAAGCTAGTCTGTCATAGATTAAAAAGCTTATTATCAAAGAACATTCTACGTAACACAATTAAGTCAAGAAATACATTTGTAATTTGTGGGTAGTTTTTTCACCTAATATCTTTAAGGCGTGTTCTAGACTATTCTACAGCTGTGACATTTTTTTAGCAACATATATAGAGATATATATCTCCAAATAGTCTAAAATCTCGCTAAAAATTACTACGGTAATAAGCATCTATTTATTTAATTATTTATAGTACTAGCTTTCGCCCGCGACTCCGTTCGCGTGGAATAAAACAAATAAAAGTGAGTAGCCTATGTGTGTCTACATCTATGCCTAATTTCATCGAGATCCATTCAGCAGTTTAGGCTACAAACTGTAACATCCATCCATCCATCCATCTAAACTTTCGCATTTATAATATTATAGTATTAGTTAAAAAAACTTTTAGTATTTATTTACTAATGTTACTAAACTGTTATAGAAAATTTCTTTCTTTTGCAAAGAAGATATCATTTGTCGTCTGACATTTTAAGTTTTAAAAAAATATTTGTCATTAGTTATAATATTTAAAAATTTTATATGTTATTTGACTTGGCACGTGGTAACTAAATAAACTCATATAATTCATGTGCCATCAGATGCGATAACACCAGTGGGGCCGTCGTTGGTGTCGACCAGTAGTGCTGAGCTGTTGTCGCGCGTGGTGTGCTCCGGGCTGGGGGCCAGGCGGCGCTGGTCGCGCGCGCCGCATCTCTTCTCACACAAAATGTGCTCTTTAGAGCTAACATTTACAAATTACAATAATACTGAAGTTAATAATATCAGAATTAATAAAAAGGTAAGGATTTTAGATCTTATTGTATAGGTGATAAGGGTTTTATTCGTTTGCTATTTAATTTTTTTTTTGTTTGTTACTAATAAACTCAAAAACTACTGGACCGATTTATAAAAAAAATCCTCCATTAGAAAGCTATGTTATCTCTGAGTGACATAGGATATATTTATTAGCAGATTCTTTTTAATTCTATACGTAAAAGCAATAATTTAAAATGCATTTTTAGATTTTGTTTACGACATTGTTGCGTGGAATTCGAAATACAAATCTTAGTAAAAACACTTCTAGACTATGTTTTAAAACTTTGTTAAATAGCGACTTTAGTTTTGGAGATACGTAACAAACATCCATCCATACATTTCTAAACTTTCTTATATAAGAAAGTTTAGATATATGTTTCTTAAAGTATGTAGAGTCTGGAAGAACACATGCTTTATTATTCCACGTGAAGTCGCGGTCAAAAGTTAGTAATATTAATAAAATAAGGATTAAAATACTTTATATCTTAAGATGGCAAACACGTAAGCGGCCATGTAAATTCGCTGAAATGGCGAATCGACTGTCCATAGACATCCGCAATTGCAGATGCGTTGCCTTAATCGATGGAGACACATTAAAAAGATATTTCCCCTTCCTATGCATCTCCATCGTCAAATCCTTTTCCTTCCACTTAAGAAAGGGGGATGGGAGTAATATTAAATTGTTTAAAATAACTAGTACTGTCCTGAAAGACCCCCAAAAGGTCTGAAACTAGTCGGTGACGTCACCTCAAGTAACATATAGCTTAATTATTAGGGTAAAGGGCGTACTAATTACATACATATACGGAAAAAAATACACTTTTAAAAAGGAAAAAAACACGTAAAACAAAAAATGGACATCATAAAGAAAAAAAATGTAATGTTAATAATAAAAACAAAAACAATCATACTAAAGTAAAAAGAGGACATACTGTATTTATAAATTTGAGTCCCTTTCTCTTTACCGCCCTTTTCTTTAAGAAGAGGATGGGAAGAGGAAGTGGATTTAACGGAGGAGGAGATGCATAGGAAGGGGAAATATCCTCTTTATGTGCGTCTCCTCCTCTGTCGGATAAGGGTAGGCAACGCATCTTATTTTGGGGATGTCTATGGGCAGCGTTCGCTTCGCCATTTTGGCGGATTCAGGTTGCCGCTTACTCGTTTGCCACCTTACGATATAAAAAAAATAACAAAAAAAAACACAATGTATTATGAGTTAATTTGGGAGTGTAATAATATTTTTTCACATTTTTTAGCAAACTGTTAATATTTTTTTGATGTAGACTCTAACAGGTTCCCGCGCTATCCACGAGTTCGCCGCCATCAGCTCGCTGGCGCCAGGAGCCTCGGCCAGCGGCACCCTCGGCGTCGACTTCGCAGACTCCATACAGCCCATCGAGTTCACCATCATCAGCTCCTTGGGTGAGTGGTACTGCTACTAGGTTTTTATATTTATTTCTAGGTTTACGTGATATCCATTTTAAATTTTTTGTCTTTTGTGTATCAGAAAACTGATTGTTTATTTCCCTTCCCCATTACGAGGAATTATGGGGAAGGGATGAAAAGGGATGGTGTAACAGCGGAGTTCCTCTTTCTGCGTCTTTTGATAGTCAACGTATCTGTAAATTTAAAAATGCGATATTTCGCTATTTCGGCGAATTCCGCTGGCCACTCGCTCATTTACCACTTTATAAAAAAAATCTCCTCTTAAATGTTATTTAATAATATATCAGGTGAGGTGAACGTGAGTATAACTCCGCCTGTGGGGGAGTTGATGCGCGCCGTTACCATGACAACGGCCCGCTGGGACACGGAGCACCGCACTCTGCGCGGCATGACTGAGGTAACTCGTTACAGACTGAATAACAGAAATAACAGAGTTTCCCGTTGGACCGTTCGTCAACGGGAAACTATACGTTAAGGCGATTGAACGTAGGAACGTAGGAAATAATATGTCTCATTGTATAGATCTAAAAGTTTTAATGATGTAATCACGAATAATCAAAGGGGTAGACAGAGACCACATACCTCAATTGGTTTCTGTCTTATTTCTCGATTCTTTATTCCTATAGTTAAGTAAATGCAGTTGGTTTTTGTACTCCTGGCAATTTTGTCTTACCGTAATTTTTTGTATAATAAAATTTAACCAATATTGACTTTTGTATTATTCGCAAAATAATACATTTTTCTTATATAAGGTATTTATTGTAATGTTCCAGTGTGATAAGAAAACAGAGAAAATCACCGATGAAGCGGTTATTTGCCAGCGCGTGTTTGAAACAGCCAATTTAGCCGCCATCACTTCCACTGGAGAGTTACTGAGGTAAGTATTTCAGTATGAGAATTAAAAAAATATGGTCCTCTACAATATTACTGCATCTACCTTCTATTAGCTATCTTCCAATCAAAATTTCATTATAAACGATCCACCCGTTCCAGAGATAGTGGTTCTGTCGCCATTTTGACATCGCGGAATTAATTAAAATATAGCCTACTAGCTGTTCCTTATACTACCTCCTATTCTCCTATATCCTATCCTACTAGCTGTTAATTATAAAAATTTTATTTTATTCACATTTGTCAAATTATCAATTGCAAATGTCAAAATACCAATGACCTATGGCAATCTTGCTTCTTGATGTTGGCAGCTCGTATCGTATGGTCTCTTTCCCACATTAGTTTTCCAAATTTTTTTTAATACGATTTTCATTATCAATAACGTAATTACGTCATCTTCCCGAAATTAAACAGACACTCCTATTTTATTATATCTATATAGGGGACTAGCTGTTGCTCGCAACTTCGTCGGCGTGAAATTGAAAAATAATGAAGAATATAGCCTATATAGTCACAGATAAATTACCTTCCTAACAGTGAAAGTGTTTTGAAAATTGTCCCAGTAGTTTTTGAGTTATTTCAATGTATACAAAAATACAAATCTTTCGTCTTTATAATATTAGTATATAGACAAATGTTAAGTTAACGAACGTTTACTTTTGTCTGCAGGTTCGCAGGCCGCATGATGTCCTCGCAGGAGCTGGTGCTGGTGGCGGTGCGCGCGCTGCAGCAGCACAGCCTCGTCACCGCCAGCTG